ATTTGACTAGTTATGCTTTTTAAGGCATTCTTCCCTTAATTGGATTTTAGTACATCTTTTTTTTCCATTTGACCAATTCTGCTTGTTAAGGAGTTCTTCTCCTCAGGGAATTTTTGTACCTCTTTTACAATTTGGTCATTTCTGTTTTTTAAGGTGTTATGTTCTTCAGGGTTTTTTCTTCCTCTTTTACCAAGCTGTTAACTCTCTTTTCATAGTTTTCTTGCATCACTTTCATTTCTTTTCCCAATTTTTCCTCTACCTCTCTTATTTAATTTTTAAAATCCTTTTTGAGCTCTTACAATAATTCTTTTTAGGCTTGTATCCAATTCAAATTTTTTTTTGCAGCTTTGCATGCAGCTGTTTTGACTTCATTGTCTTCTGAATTTGTGTCTTGTTCTTCCCTGTCACCATAGTAATTTTCTATGGTCAGGTTCTTTTTTTGTTGTTTGTTCATTTTTTTTTTCAGCCTATTTCTTGACTTTTAACTTTATGTTATAATTGAGCTCTGCTCCCAAGGTGGAGAGGACACTGTCTCAAGTTTAAGCTTTTCAGTGCTGCTATTTTCAGAGCTAGTTCTGGGGGCTGGGGTGGGGGGTATCTTTAATTTTTCAGTTCTTCCAAGGTGGTATGATCTAAGGAGAGGTATGGTCACTGCTCTCTTAGACTGTGCTCAAGTCTGCAAATGACCACAAGCATTCTTCTCCATCCTGGAACTATGACCAGGGTTCCTGCTCCCCTGCTGCAGCTGCAAGTGTTATTGCTTCTTATGTCCCTGGAAATGTGACTCAGGCCTTTGCCCTCCTGCAGCCACAAGCACTAGTGCTCTTGGACTTCTGCCTTGGACCTGAGACCAGGGTCCCTGCTCCCTTGGAGCAGCCACAAGTACTCTTCTTCACCCTGGAAGTGTGGCCATGGACCCTACTTTCCTGTGGCCACAAGTGCTAGTGTGCCAGTGCTCCTCTTTGCCTTGGGACTGTGACCCAGAACTGTATATGGCCAATGCAACAGGATCCTACACCTAGTGTCCACAAAGCATCCCCTCTAATCTCCTTTAACCAGTTGTCCATCTGCTTACTGTCTGTGGGCTGAGAGCTCCCAAAGCTGCTGCTGCTGCTGATGCAGCCACCTCTAGAGCCTGCTGCTGGATTATCAGGGTGTGACCTATGCTGTACTGTGCTCCAGGCCCAAGTACCACCTCAATGAGATGGACCATTCCTGCTGACTTCCTAAATTGTCTTGGGCTGGAAAATTGTTTCTTCTTGACCTGTTATTGCGTCTGCTCCAGAATTCAATTTGAGACATTATTTTAAAGTTGTTCGTAGGGAGAGTTCAGGTGAGTTCCTGCCTTTATTATATCATCTTGGCTGCACCCTTCTATCCTATTTATGTTAAAGGCAACCACCATTCTTCCATTCACTCAGATTTACAACCTAAAAGTCATCCTTGAGTCTTCATTTTCAGCCATTCCCAGTATCCTCTCAGTTTCCAAGTCTCATCAAGTCTACCTCAATGTCCCCTTTTCTTCACTCATAGGTTCACTGTCTTATAATTCAGGCCCTCATCATCTCTTGCCTGGACAGTCGTGATAGCTTCCAATTGATCTCCCTGCCTCCAAGCTCTCCTGCCTCTATTCCATCCTCCACACAACCATCTATGAATACGTATCCCACTGCAGTAGAATGTAAGATCCTTAAGAGCAGGGATTCTCACTTTTATATCCCCAGCAGAAAACACAGTACCTTAGATGGTTTTTGATTGATAGTTTGATTTGTAGTATTCCATCTGATCGTCACCTTTGCTCTTATCACATCCTGCCTTCTATCAAAACTGTTTGCATTGTTCACTTCCCCTATTAGATTATAAGCTCCTTGAGGGTGGGAACTATGATTCATTCTACCTTTTTATCTGCATAGCCTTGCACAAAATAGATCATCATCACAATTAATAAACATTTATTAAGTGCCTCCTCTGTGCTAGGCACTGTGCTAAGCACTGGGAATACAAAAAGGACCAAAAGACAGCAAGCTAGTAGCTCAATAAATTCATGTTGAATTGAATCCCACAGTATGTGGCTTATTGCTACATGTGCCAAGAATGTCACTGCTGAGGATTTCTGATCCCAGACATTAGCCATCTGACTCATTTCCCACCTCCATAACTCTTCATGCACTGATTCACCAGACCTCACCTCACTCAAAGCCAAGCACTGGCTATATTTCTAACACATGACTTGGCCACTCCTGACAGTTTATCAAAGCATGACAGACCAAAAATACAGAGCTTTGCCTTGGGAGAAACATGGCTATCCACAATCAGCATGGCCATAGAAG